CCTCTAGAGGCAGCTCCTCCGCGCTCTGCTCTCGGTTTTCCACACAGATAGAAATTGTATGTTTAAAAGCTGGGTTTTGCAGTGTAGCGAGGGTGGTTTAGCGCTACCCGAAATAGCTCCTGGCCTGCCGTTTGCTGAAGGTGCGTGTTTCACAGAGCTCACCGGGGTACGCAGCTTCCCAGTGCGGTTACCCGCGGTGAATATCCTTTGCATCACTAAAGAAGATGACAAGGATTAATTTCTGTTAATCACTGGATTCCTAATAAACGTGGGGTAGTCTAGAAATTGTTGTTTAGTCTAAGAAGTAATGACCTGCTACTTAAAAGGACAAAGCGCATACGCCATGTCTCTAATTTGTGATGATGCAAATCATACTTCAATATTTGCTTCATCTTCCGTGATACAAGTTACCCACGCGTTTTGGTCGATGCGTACCTGTGAGCCAGAAGGTTCTCGCTGTAAATGTCACCGTTCCTGTTTCTGGCTTTGGGTTAAAAGAAAAAGGGAAGCGATTACTTGTGCTGTGTTCTCCAAAAACTCTTGCTGTCGGCCCTTGCGCGAGCGCTGGCGTTTCCTGGGCAGTGCGGGAGGCTTTGCTGTCCCGTTCCCGTGAAGCTCCTGCTAAACCTCGCAGCGGTTGCGTGCTGCAAACCTTGCTCTGAAATACTTAATGCTTCGTGGTTTGAAATCCCAAATCCTGGTACCGGAGGTGATCTGACAGCTATCGGCATGTGCGGCAGAGCAGAGGCACTGGCGTCCGCCGCCATGTCGCGTCATCTCGGCCTGGTTTGGTCCACGCGGTTCCAGATTCTGCTCTCGTGTGGTAGCGGTGGGCGATGGAGCCGAGGGATGCCTTATTGTCGGGAATGGAAGGACGGGATGCCATCCAGAGGGACCTGGACAAGCTGGAGAGGTGGGCCTGTGTGAACCTCATGAGGTTCAACAAGGCCAAGTGCAAGGTCCTACACCTGGATCGGGGTAATCCCCAGTATCAGTACAGGCTGGGGGATGAAAGGATCGAGAGCAGCCCTGCTGAGAGGGACTTGGGGTACTGATAGACAAAAGGCTGGACATGAGCCGGCAATGTGCGCTGGCAGCCCAGAGGGCCAACCGTGTCCTGGGCCGCATCAAGAGAAGCGTGGCCAGCAGGTCGAGAGAGGTGATTCTGCCCCTCTACTCTGCTCTGGTGAGACCTCACCTGGAGTCCTGCGTTCAGCTCTGGAGCCCTCAGCACAAGAAGGATGTGGAACTGTTGGAGCAGGTCCAAAGGAGGGCTACAAAAATGATCCAAGGGCTGGAGTACCTCTGCTATGAGGACAGGCGGAGAGAGTTTTTCTTCCATGTTATTGCTGCACTTCAACGAGGGGGAATGGTTTTAAACTAAAACAGGGTAGGTTTAGGCTGGATATAAGGAAGAAATTCTTCACAGTGAGGGTGGTGAAACACTGGAACGGGTTGCCCAGAGAGGTGGTGGAGGCCCCATCCCTGGAAGCATTCAAGACCAGGTTGGACAGGGCTCTGAGCACCCTGATCTAGTTAGCGGTGTCCCTGCTCGCTGCGGGGGGGTCGGACTAGATGACCTCTAGGGGTCCCTTCCGACCCAAAACTTTCTATGATTCTATAATTAGGGGGGAAGGTGCAGCCAGCACTCAGGACACTAAGCGTTAAAGCCAAATAAAGAGTTAAAGTCAATAGACGTCGGGACGTGTTCCGATGAAGCTGCGTGGATGAGTGCGTCTGTTGAGACCGTTGCAGGCTTCTGCTGTAAATAGCAGAAAATAGTACAGTAGTGTTGGTCTAGACAGAAGTTCATGTTATGGAGTACTTAAACTTAGGTGAGTGAATAGGTGTGAGTTGTCTGCGTTGGGTTTCCTTCAGAGTGGATAACTTGGGTGGGGGAAGATCACAGCTTAAAAATATCAGCATTGAGAAAGGAAAAATAGAAGCGGGGTATGGTTCTGCCTCTCAGCATGTTAAAGAGAAGCAACGAGTGACCTGTTTGTCCCTGGCTTGGGGTGGGATGTGGTCTTCCCCGGGTGCAAGCAGAGCCCTGGAAAGCCTCCGTGTCTTCTAAGCAGGGGTGAAGTGGCCGATGGAAAAGCTTCTGATTTGAAGGACTTCACCGTCGCTGTGTGGTGTGGCTGCCCCTCGCCTCGTGGCACGCGTCTGGGCTGGGGAGCTGCGTGTCCGCCAGGAGAGGGGAGATTGAGCGAGCTCGTCCGTGTCGGGTCTCTTCAGAATTTGAGAGATGGGGATTAATCTAGCAGAAGGCTGTAAACAGTGTTACTTTGCAGCATTGGGTAGTTATTTGCTCGTCTTCATTAACTCATTCTCTGTATTTTTCTTTTGATTTGCAGTGAAATAAAGAGAGAAAAGAGAGTCCCCTCACCGGACGTTATAGTGTTATCCGACAATGAACCTTCTAGCCCTAGAATGAATGGTTTAACAAAAATAGCATTAAAAGAGACCAACACGGAGGCACTCATGGTGAGTCGTCTTGTCTTGACACACTTTCAGTTGTGCTGTCCAGGAAGAAGAAGACACACCAGTTGTCCCTACAGAGGCGATCCCAGGGTCAGTGGATACGTGGTGTAATAAAGGCGGATGTGCAAGCTGGGGATCTTGGAGCTGTTAAAGGGTGGTGTTCTTTTTTATTTTTTTCAGGTTCTTAACTCTTGATTTTTATACACTTCAAAAGCGCACCCTTTTCAGAATCGGCTTTTTAGTGGATGCAATGTCCCTTACTCAGCATGGCAGAACACAGATTTGTTGTCTGACCCTTCATCTGACTTTGTCTGCTGGTTTTGCTAGTGAAAATATCTCAGGAACTTTTTTTTTTGCCTTTGAGTTCTTTCTCCATGCCCAGTTTGTGTCCATACATTGCAGGCTTGTCAGTGATATTAAGACATACATGACAATTATAATGCTGCGAGTTCTTGTCGTAACTTGTATGGTATCTATCTTTTCCCTCTCCCTGCTCCCTGTTTTCCCATCCTCTGTTGCCTTGCCTGGCCCTGCAGAAGAGCAGTCCAGAGGAGCGTGAGAGAATGATTAAACAACTAAAAGAAGAGTTACGGTTAGAAGAAGCAAAACTTGTTTTATTGAAAAAGTTACGGCAAAGTCAAATCCAGAAGGAGACCACTACTCAGAAGGTATTTATTTTCCTACAGATACTATCATCTCATCTTTTGAAATGGAGGGGAACAAATTTAAATAACTGTGGCGGTTGCCATAACCTTTGGAACATAAGGTAGCTTTCAAATGAAGCATATCTCACAATCTTTCTGAAGTTTATAGTGGTTTATCCTGTTAACCATTCCTTTTTGTGGAATTCCTTTTTTTGTCTTGCCAAGACCAAACGGCAAGACAGTTTATCCTATCGACTGTAGTCAAAAGCTGAAGATCTTTTTGTTAGAACTCCAGTGCATTTATGAATGTAATATGCTTCCAGTTGTTAAACACTCTGTCCAGTCCTTAACGCTGCACAGAGATTGCTGAAATACCTGTGGAGGAGATGCTTGCACATAACAAACGTGCTGACAGGTAGAGTTAAAGCGTTTGAACCCCAGGCTCTGGGAGCCAATGGCCGAGGGCCGTGCTTCGTGCTGCGTGGCAGGAGCCCAGGTCTGGGTTCCAGGATTTGCCAGGTGAAGCGAGTCTGCGCTTAGCTGCACGCTGTCATCATCCAAAAAAATCCAGGCAGCCCCTGGAAGGAATGGTTCAGCCCTCCCACCCTGAACTCCCTTCCCTTCCTCCTCTCTTCCCCCCACCCCTCATCTCGCACAACCACGCGCAATTTCCAGAGCGCTGGGAGGAGAACTGTTCTCGTCAGAAACTAACCCAGCCAAAAAAAACCAAACATCTGCCTTTTTGTCAGAGCGGTTGCCTGGCGTGCTCGCTCCGTGTGCCGTTCACGCTGGCGGGTGGCAGGAGGAGAGCAGAGGAGGCTGGGAGGCGAGGAGGCATGCGAACGCCCCATGTGCTGCCATCGAGGCACAAGCTCAGCTTCAGGCGTCCATAACAATGGCAACTAAACTATTTTATTTTACAGCGTGTGATGCTGACTTGATGGATGCTGTGATGGGGGCGATGTGTAGATTTAAGTGCCCTTGGCGGTGCGGATGGATGTTAAATCCATTCTCGTGGCTGGTTTTGGTTGTTTTATTGGCGTCTTTCTCCCGGACTTCAGAGTGCTTTGGCAGATGGGATTAAAACTAGTGCAAGTACCTGCGTCACTCCACTCGCTGCTGAACGCTGAGCAGTGAGCTCTGGATGTTTGCACTAACTAGGGTGGAACAGCATATTCTAAACTTCTTAAAATCTGAAGTCTTTTTCCTAAACTTTTTTTCACTTTGCTTTATGCCTGAACCTGATTCATTGAGACCGGTAGTGATGGTGGAGAAGACCGCAGTGGGCTGTAAGCTGAGACTGCTAAAATAGATTTCCACATTGCTCTGCTCTTGGTGTACAGGCTCTTTTATTTTCCTGGTATAATCTTATCTATACTTACCTAATAACTTCTTCATTTAAATACGCATGTTGAGCTGCTTGGAGGAAGAAAGGGAGGGGGGAGGAGGGAAACCACAGTCTTTGAAGATTCTCTTACTGAGGCGCAAGGAGGTAAACGCTTTTATTCCCTTAGCTTCTGTAATTCTGCTTTACACCCTTACACTCGTCTGCTTTCTTTCTGGTTTTTCCTCTTCCAGCCTGCTGGTTCCTCTGGGAGTGCTGTGGCCACCCCTCCGCCCTTGGTGCGGGGACCGCAGAGCGTTCCTGCTGGCAAGCCGTCCCTCCAGGTCAGTGGGGTGGGCCAGGCTGCCAGGTTCAGGGCGCGGAGCAGAGCGGAAGGTGCACAGGCCAGGCCAGGACAAACCCTCACGTTAGTGGCTTGGAGCTAGGTGGAATTTTTCTGTTTAACTCCCGCAAACCCCACTATAAGCATTTTAAGAACAGTCGGGGTGGGAGATAAAGTAGGATGTCAGCCGCAGATAGCAGCTCTCATGAGCTTATTTTTTCAGGGGGTGATCATCCTGATCCACCCTGCTGATAAATACGTCCACGTTAGTACTTACAACCTTTGGCAAAAGAGGAGGCCGTGGGGTTATGTCAGAGAAATATTGTGGTAGCCTGTTGCCGTACCCTCAAGAGGCAGAATTGTGCCCCCAGTATGATTAACGGTAAGGGCTGAGTGAAGCATATGATTTTTCTCCTTTGACTTGGTGGCTGAATGGCACACGATGGTAGGAGAGATCTTGGTTCAAATTAAATGAAATGTTGGAAAGCCTTGGGGAAGCACACAAAAGAAAAGCAGAGGCAATTGACATCTGTCAACTTCATCTTCCTCTTGAGCCTAGTATCTTGTTTTGCTTTTGGATTTCAAACATTTCTGGTTATTTACCTTGGGCCAACTGGAAACATCGTTCAGAACTGCCTCAGCACAAAATGCTTTCATTTGGAAAATGGCAACTCTTCCTTTCGAAATCCCCGAGGATGCTGTGCTGGAGGGAAGGGGTCAATTTGCCATCCATTGAGGAACCATGCACAAAACCTAAAGCGATCTGTCAGCTGGAGTAATCTCTTCCTTGAGGCGAGTTGCCTTCACTGAAGACAGCACTTTCAGAGGAACCGGACCACGAGTTAAATCATCAGCAATCAGTGAAACTTCGGTTGGACAGAGCAGAGAGCTGGGAGCTAAGAATCCAGAACTGAAGTTGTTCTGTCTAATTTGTGGTGTTTGTGCGCGTTAACCTAACCTCCATCTGCTTTTGCTCCACTGTAAAAGCTCTACTAATTCCCACGTGTAGGAGTTAACATTTGGCCTTCAGCTGAAAGGCGTAACAGAAGCGGACGCAACTTCCCACCTGCCTAAGTACGTGTGTACGCATGGTAACTCCTGAACGCGGGAGCTTCGGCGTCTTCGTTCACAGATGATGGTCAGTCTGGGGCTTGAGCGAGGGAAGTGGCAAGGTGTGGAAAGCCACGGGAGTAGGATGGAGAGGCTTGTTGCTCTTGAGCAGCGTTTCTTTCTCAGGCTCAGTTGTGTAGCATTAGTGGTCTGCGGGAATGTAAGTGATGCGTAAAACCGTATCGCCTTTTGTAGCATCAGGAGAAGCTTTGAGGATTTAATGCACTCTGCAGCCCAAAAAGCATGGGCAGCAATTTTTCAAGCTTCTTTAGCCCGATTCCTTTTCTTTTTCATTTTTTTCTAAAGCTTTCTCCTTCTCTTGTCTCTCTTTTTCCTCCCCAAAGACATGCACATACCCAGTCTGCTCACCTCCCCGGGTTCCTGCGTCTCCAACTTCTATCTGCCCCATGCTTCTCCTTGAAGACAACACTTTATATTTCCCCGTTCTCTCACTCCCCCCCAAAATACACTTTCTGGACACCAATTGCACTGAAGCCAGCCCGGCCGTCTTGTCCTGCAGTCTTTCCGCTGGCCCAGCACGGGCACAGCGTCCGTCCCATCAGCCAGCGAGGAGAGCTGCGCTCGTACCCCTGCTCTGGGGCTGGGGTTGTGGCGTGCCTCCTCGGTGCATCTGAGCACGGGAGTTCTCAAGCTGTTGAATTTTAGCGGTGGGAGGGCAGATGACAGTGTTGGTCAGGACTGCTCCTTATATTGAATTCTGTGCAGGATGAGAGAGAACAATCCCCGAGCGTGCAGCCAGGCTGCCGCCGCGTCCTTACCGATGTCTGTAGTGCTGCGTAAGATGTCAGACCCTGCTTTGTCAGCACACTGAGCAGCAGAAGAGAGCATGCACACAAATACACCAGGACAAAACAATGCGAGTAAACTATTGTTTTGTTTTGCAGACCTCTTCTACACGTATACCAGGCACTGTTATTCCTCCTCCCTTGGTCCGTGGAGGGCAGCAGACTTCTTCCAAATTAGGAACTCAGCAAAACACACAGATAGTAATGCCGCCTCTTGTCAGAGGAGCACAGGTAAGTATTTACCTTGCGGTGGAGGCACTCTGGTTTTCCTTAAAGCATCTGAACTAATTTCTTAGTCATCTTGCTGCTTGTCTGGAGGGAACCCATGAAGTTCCTGCTGGAATTTCTTAATAGGGCTGTATGTATTGCTACTGAAAGATCCTGCGTTGTTCCAGTTTTGCCTATCGTGCTGTCCTGTAACGGTTCAGGGAAGTGTGAGAAAATCCAGTGGTGATGCAGGATACTGCCTTTACCTGCGTAGCTGCTTCCCTTAGCTGCACTGCAGCAGTTTGTTTGCCTTTATTATGAAAGTTAACGTACAGGCTTGCAGCTTCACCTGCCTTTTAGGAGAGTGGCAGCAGAGGAAATGAAACGCAATCCCTTGTTCTTCCATTTTTTTCCCCCTCATTATTCTTTCCATCGTATCAGTTTCTCCTTTTCACATGCTAAAACTCAGGTTTTTTTCCTCATTGTCTCTTTCTTGCGATTGAATAAGAGCTGCTGGAATGAGATAGTTGACTGGAAGTCTGAAAGTGCTGCTTTGCAGGGTCTTTATCACCTATAAGAGAAAATAGCGGTGTCACTGGACGAGCAGGAAGCAGTGTTCAATTTGATACGGGCTTCTAAAATTATGACTTCTGTGGGATACCAGGGAAAAAATATTTCATTGTTAAATGAGGATTTGTTTTGCAGTGAAAGGTCTGCTTTTATCTGTTGCATAGCCAGCATTAAGGAGGAAGGCAGAGATTCGGTATTTCATTTTCTTTCTGTTCTGATTATGGAGAAGACCTCATTCTGAGAAATAGCGTTCCTAATGCCTTTAGAATGAAACAGGCTGGACAGTTATACATTTGGAAAGAAACTTGACTCAGAAATTTGGATTTTTGGCACAGCTGTTTTGGCCATAATGTGATGGCCTCGCATACGAGCATCTCGTTTCGCGACACGTTGTACTTGTTTCATTTTGACAGAGGGAAAGGGAAAAACATCGCATTTAGACACGGATGTTAATGATCACGCTTTCTTTGCGTTCCCTGCCCTGCCTCATTTCCACTGTCTCACGTCATCCCGTTCGACTCCCACCGCTTACCTCCCGCTATCTAATCCTCCCCATTGCTCATGGCACCATTGCATCAGCCCATTTCTGTGTCTTCCCAGCAAATCCACAACATCCGACAGCACTCCAGCACGGGGCCGCCTCCGCTGCTGCTGGCGCCGCGGGCATCGGTCCCCAGCGTGCAGATCCAGGGGCAGCGAATTATCCAGCAGGGTCTGATCCGCGTCGCCAACGTCCCCAACACCAGCCTGCTTGTCAACATCCCGCAGGTGAGTTCGTGCGGTGCTTTGTGCCAAACACAGCATTCGTCTCGGAGGAACAGAGGTGAACGGTTGTAATTAATGATCATTGGGTTGCTGTGTCTAAGTTGGCATGGCCCACTGTCATCTAACTGAGGCGGCTGCTTATTACTGCTCCTTGTTCTTCCCATGCAGTCCCTTTCTCTGTTCCTGTTCACCTCCTGTACTTACAAATGAAGAAAAACGTTACAGAATATTGGAAAGAAATCGGTGTATTTCAGTGACCTGAGTGTTGCACCTCATTTCACGTTTGGTATTTCAGTACGGAGCTGGCTGTTGGGATATCTTTTTTTTCTCGCTTCCCTAAGAAGCATCAGTGAGTGTCCAGGGCTCAAAATGGGTTAGTGCTTCCGTTTGAAACACCAAGAGATCCTGAAGCAGCAGCTTAACATCTACCACTGATACTGGCATACCAAGGGCTATAGAAAAAGGAAGCAATTTAAAGTCAGTGCTTGGACAAAATCATAAAGAAAAGGGCTCCTTTTTGTATTTTTCTTTAGAATTTCTAAAACTGCCTTATAAAAATGATCAGTAAAGAAAAATGGAGTTCTTCAGAAAACGAGTTAAAGCATCAGACAACAGGCGTTGCAGTGTTCGGTCACCTGCGAGAACAAGATGTAGCGGGAGGCGGTTTGGTCTGGTCCTGAGCAGCAGCCGTCATCGCACGCCCAGCCCCACGCAGGGTCGGAGCCAGCGCTGCTTCCCTCCCTCTCATCCCTTTCGGTGGAGAGGAGCGCGTGTCTCGAAAGCACCGAGCCCTCCGGCCCTTGTCACTGAGCTGTGTCGTGTTTCCTCCCAGGCTTCACCGACTTCAATCAAAGGTACAACCGTGACATCCGCTCAGGCCAACGCTACCACGACCAGCGCCGCTTCCACGTCAACCCCCACGCC